TTACAACTCTTGAAACCTAACTCTTTACGCATACATATGCACCTAGGTACATTCTATATCAAATGCTTTTTTACAAGCATCGTAGGTACATTCTACTTAGCCATTTTTACTTAAGTAGTAATGATATGATGCATGTATGTAAATAAAGTGTATAAAAAAATATACTAATGATACCCTCTCGGTAAAGGCACCTGCATCACACCAAAACACACTAACGGCCTAGCCTAAGACTAGAGTCAGTTATCCTAACAAACAAGTTTTACTGTGTGTAAAATATCTTGTCTTTGATATGTCCTAAAGGATTTGATGTTCAATTTATTTAAATTTGAGTTTGTTTATTGGTTATAAGTCAAGGAAGGTTTTAATTTAAGTTTAAGTTTTAATATTTTAAAATTTTATTAATTCAATTTTAGAAGGTTTATTTGTTTGAGTCGTTTTATTCTAGGTTTTAAGGAACCATGATAATTAGTAACTCCAAAGTGCAAAAGTCTCTAGCCCAAATCCTAAGGCTCATAATTGCAATGCTACCATCCCCCCATATAGGATATGATTGGTTGAATAGAGTCCTTGCATTTTTTAATCAAGTGTTTTAGTCCTTAAGAGCTTCAAATCTAATACAGCGTTACCTTCCTAAAAGGAGTCAAGCACAAGAATATAAAGCTCTAATTTCTAAGTGTTTTATTAATAGTTATTTAGGTTGAATAGTGATTGTCTTTGTTAAACCAGGCTATGAGGTTTATTGCACCCTCTTTGGGGTTAATTTAATAGCCTTGTAAGCCCGGATTACCCAATAATCACCTTGGCTAATTATGTTTTATTGTTTGTTAAATATATTGAATTAGTTATTTATTAAAGTACTTTAAGAATCCAATGTGCTTATGTCTTCCAAGATGGAGGCAAACATAGCACATAAAAGCCTAATTGATCATTCAGAGACCCTCCAATCCAATGCATATATATCTTCCAGCAGGAGTTGAATACAACGCATAAGGTTCTTTTGTTATTTAAGATTGATTAAGGACCTTTTAAATCAAATATTAATATTCCCTCCAAAAGAATCAAGCATAAAACATGAAAGGTCATTTAATTATTTGTTTAGTTCTTCAATTAATGAATTCATTTAATTAAATCAAATTACATGTATTAATCATGAGATCTTATTTTATTTGAGATGATAAAAATTTGAATTATTGTTCATTGATTTTTATTTGTTTTGTTTGAATTTTTAATGTTTTATTTGAGTTTTAACTTTTAACTAATTTTTTAATTAATATTATTTAATTAAATCAAATTTAGTTATGGAATTTTATTATAAAATTTTATCAATTTTATTTTGTCTATTTAATTTAATTCGTTTGAATTATGTTGTTAATTTATTTAATTTAAATATGTTAATAAGTTTCACTTATTAGAATGTTATAAGTTGAGATTGTTTATGTTTAATTATCTTTTTTATCTTTATTAATATATTTTATTATGGACATTATGATTCATGACAATCAAAGGAAAAAAAAAATTTCTAATATGGGGAAATATATCAATATTATGCATGCTTAGATTTGTCACTAACAAATAAAATCCTACTTACTAGCGGGTTGGGGGACTTGAATTAATTGCAGGGTTTCTACAAGGACCTAAAGCTTATGAGATCCTAGTCACATGCAAGGTTTAGAGGATCTAGGGGGCTTTAAGTTTTAGAATTTACCTCACCGAAGCTAATCCGGTGCAACCGGCCATAGCACCTCCATTTGGAAGAAATGGAGGCGACTGATTACTTCCTAAATTGTTGTCGAAGTAGCTCCCGATGTGCCTCACAAACAATAGAAAGAGAGCAAATATGAATGAGAGTAGGCACCATTCAAAGAGAATCACAATTAAACAAGAATTAATCTAAAGCAATTAAGATTTACAAATTTAGAATTCATCTTAAGTGTATGGAAAGAAAGCATTAGAAGAGCATGAGTAAGGGAGAGATACAACAACAACAACATCAATCCTTTATCCCACTACGTGGGGTCGGCTACATGAATCCTTTTTCTCCATTGTGTAAGGGAGAGATACAAATGAGTGATAATCACATACAAGATTATGTGTGCGCTTAGGTCAATGTATGAAAGCTTACTGACATGAATAAAGAAGATTAACAAGAAGACGAATTGCACATGAATTGTATGAAAATTCATTGTCATAGAACATAGAAGAAGACTACATGAATCATGCAAGAATTTGCTAGCATAAACACCAATCCTCACACTACATAGCTTCAGACATGCATGAGAAATCTTCCAACATAGGCAAAATATCTTCTTTTTTTTTTGCATCGATTCTATACATGCTCATAATTGAAATGGTAAAATGAATGGAACAATCTATCATAATTATCAAACTCTATATAATACCAAGCGACTGTGTGATGTTAAGATTTATAAATGTATGTGGGTGTTTTGTTACAACAATGATTCTTCTATTTTAAGACTAAACATGCTGCTAACTGATCATGAACCATATAACATGTGAGTGAACCAACTAAGCATGCTCCATGACAATAATTAAAACTACATATATGCATGTGAGAGTCTTCTTTCAAATGTCACTAGACATGACAATGCATGACGACACAAATACACATGTAGACTTTCCAACAAAACTAACAAATCTCATTTCGTGCTAAATGATATATGATATAGAAATGTAATCATGAATATAAACACCTCTAGGTAACGATGAAAGAATAAATAAGAGTGCGCATTCATATACATAAATATCTTTGACCAACCATAAACTTTTCAATGACCTTATGTCCTTATGTAATTAATGAGTCAGAGAAAGATTGCCACCAGATTTTGTCCATATTATTGAAATTTGAAATACACCTATTGATCGGAATATAAATATTCATATGAAAGTTCCACAAAACCCACCAGTGGAATAATGTTGAGCATGCATTCATGTATGTATTCTTCCAATCAATCATAAACCACATTGTAGTGAAACTACATGGATATTCTATATGCAGTTACCATCTATAGAATGATTGAAACATCGGTGTATACAAGAATTTCTATAAATCAACTACCAAGTGATTTACAAATCAATTTATATTGTATTTTCTAGACAAAGCATGTAGAGTATATAAAATTAGAACAAAATAGTCTTCCAACACGACCAGAACTCTCCATATTGAATATCACTTGTAACGCTAATGAACACAAGTTTTCCAACATAATTATGACTTTCACCATTATAACTTGACATGGATGATTGCGCTATTTAAGTCAACTAGCAGGAGAAATATTCACACAACTTCAATTTCAAAAGAGATTTATTACACTTAGGATGAACTTCGTAAAAAAAAGGCTTTCACAATAATATAACTAATCTTCATGCTTCAACAAAACATTGTATAGGTTTAAGTATATTTATTTTACTACAAATCATGATCAAGGAAAGGTATGTGATGCCTTACTCGTTGAAAATATGAGAAAACATGTACCTTTAAAGTGTGGACATCTATATTAGAGACCCTCTAACCTTCATCCAATATCATTTTTATTACAACAAACATTTTAAAACTGATATATATGACAATGGAAGTAAATGAACATATCAGTGAGCAAACACTTTGATTGGATTATAACAATTAGCAAGCAAATAAACACAGTGTTTTTTTTGTTAACGACAAGAGTATTACCCAATGCTATTTACACTTGTCGTTCAAACTTGACACATATGTTAAAGGTAAATAACTTAGGGAAAGGAAACTAGAGCCAATTCACTTTTCTTCCTAGAATTCATGCACTCTCCAATATAACCATCAAATATGTTTCATATAAATACGAACATCCTTTATTATTATTATTATTATTATTTAACAACTATGCTATATGAAATCAGAACTTACACAATTCATCGCTTTTCCTTCAATTATGAATTACAAAATCTCTTGAATGTAGCAATGTAAAAATATAGACTTGTGTCAACTTCTCCAAACTAGTCACGAATCATGCAATAGTGAAAGCATATGGAGAACCTACTTTAATCTTCAATTATCATGAATCGATATATATATATATACACACACACACACATACACACACGAATCATTGTTTAAATTACTGAATTCATGTACTTTTATCAATGAGAATTTCAATGTGTTTCATTGAAATGGAAGATAAATATCGACCTTATATAATTCATCAAGGAATTTTTACATCTTATCCTCATGTATGAGAGAAATGCTTAACACAAATAATCATTAGTTTATATACATTCATTTACAGAATCCAAATAAAAGGAATAAACTTGAGCCCTTTGTCAGAAATGATTTTTGAATTCATGTGCAATATTCTCTTCATTCATCCTATAGATATATCACAAAAAAAAGGTTCTTGATTACATGGTCTTTTGAACAAATAACAGAAAAGTATTCTTTCTTCATTAATATAAAACTTGCATGAGCAAGCCCAACACTAATAACATGAAATATAGAAACTAAACATTTTAACATTATATGGGATGTATAAAATAAACAATCACATAGCTTCAAACAATTAAATATTGTAGAATTCATTGCTATATGAATTGATGAAGCATCAGATCTACAAAATAATAGCCCTTCATAATCCATTAACACCAATACCCATATATTCATGGCATTAACTATTTTGCTGGTGCTGGTGCTGGTGCTGGCGCATTGGAATCTTTCTTACTTGCACATGTAAATATGGCGCATTGGAATCTTTCTTACTTGCACATGTAAATATGACTTAAATGTTCAAAATGATTCCACCTACTTATGCACTTTTATGTATTGTTTAGGTAATGATTTCCTTTCCACTGACGTTTCTAACTCGTCAAGCTTAGAGAATGTTAACTGCCAATATTTTTAATTTAGTTGCTGTTTTGTTATTTTTATGTTTATTTTATAGTTAATAATTCCAGTTTTAAGTTATATCATTCTATTCAAATGTTATCTTGATATATGAACATTTTAACTGCAGATTCGTCCAGATAGGCAGACATTGTACTGGAGTGCGACTTGGCCAAGAGAAGTTGAGGCTTTGGCCCGACGCTTTTTAAATAATCCTTACAAGGTTAAGCCTGTCAAATGATCATTCATGCAACTGCATGGTCTTTTTCTTATACTTGCTTCTTGAATGTTTGAAAAACTTCACACTTTTATTAAATGAAATCTATAGGTTATCATTGGGTCACCTGATTTAAAAGCAAACCAATCAATAAATCAATTCATTGAGGTTATATCAGATCATGAAAAATATCCCAGGTGAGTAACTATGATGTATTCTATAGTCAATTTAGTAGACTTACATGCTAACAATATTTTTTAATAAAATTCCACAATCCTCTTTTGTAGGCTCGTAAAATTGTTGGGTGAGTTGATGGATGGAAATCGTATCCTTATTTTTCTTGAGACAAAGAAAGGTTGTGACCAAATTACTCGACAACTTAGGACGAATGGATGGCCTGCTTTATCTATTCATGGTGATAAAGTTCAAGCTGAAAGAGATTGGGTTCTTGCAGAGTTTAAGAGTGGAAAGAGTCCTATAATGACTGCAACTGACGTAGCTGCTCGCGGTCTTGGTAGGGCTACCTTGTTTTAGAAAATTAGGATCTCCCTCATTTGCTTTGAATTCTCAAGGATAGCAAATCGGCAGGCTGCTGGCCAGTTTCTGATTTAACTAACTAGTGGGTTGGTGTTGCCTGGGAAGGTGCCATCTTCAAAAGGTAGTAACTTTGTTCTACTTGTTTACCTCTCTGAGTGTAAGGCACCGGCAGTGTTACCAGGGCACTCTGTGGTTTCTAGTGCTCAGCACAACTTCACATGCATGAACACAAATATTTTTCTTTGTTAAAACTTTTATCTTCGGTGACTTTATTTTTCACTTGCTTAATTTCATTTAATCTATAGAAAAATATTCTTGACTTCTGTCATGAGCATTTAGCAGGTTTGTCTTTGGCAATACTGTTCACAATAGGGGACTTATATTTTATCAGGCTTTAGACTATAGGAAGGTGTCAACAGTAGGGAGGCATTGCACCATACACTTGGGTTTTCTTGCCATTGCTATTAGCGCAATCATGCCCAAATGTTTGGCAATCTGAATTAATTAATGCTCTTAATATTTGGAGCAGTGCAATGGAAAATCACATTGCAATTATAGTTCTACTTAAGATGATAAGTGGTTAAATCGTTTGATAGATTTTTTTAAAGTGATGATTTTGACATGATTGTGTGTGCTATGTACTTTCATGGAATTAAGTTCATGAACTTGTAGTATATTAATGGGCCTAAGGGCATCTCCAGCCGAAAATCTCATTTTTCACTCCAAAATGCAGTGTAGCAAAAAAATGGCGTGATTAATTTCAATCGAACTCCATTTTGCGCCCAGGTAACCATCTTTCTCCTTCGCGCATTTCTTGGCAAATCCAGTAGAGACAGAAAAATAACGCAGGTGAACAGTGCAACGTCAATATTGGCGTCACACTGTTCACCCACAACCAAATACCGGAAGTTTTGCAGTTCGAATCGAGCTCGCGAGCCACGCCATTCATGCGTTTGGAGTTCGTTTGGAGATGCCCTAAAATAAGTAGTTTGCAGTTGGATTTTAAATTTATTAGCACTTTTTATGTTTTGATACAGTGGGCATGGAACAATGGTTAGTTTGTGTTTGTAACTTTGAGGTCATAGGATTGAATAGATGGGTGGAGGCTGCATATATTAGCTCATCTTAGATCTTGTATTGGCTGGAGTCTTATATACACCAGTATGGCCTTTTTGTTGAATTATTTATGCAGTAAAATTATATAATGTAATATTCTTCATGATTCTTCAACATAAATTTCTTTTAATTTAAATTATTGTCCTGATTGCATGCTAGGGCTTATTTTCTTTTATTACAATGATTTTATACTTGCCCATTCTGTGATGCTCGACACTTGGGCCACTTTTGTTGTCAATCACTGGTATCACTGCCAACTAACATACCCACTTCTATGGAAGAGTGACGAATAATTTTTTTTGTAATTGGTAGATTCGGTTACCGTGAAAAGGTTGGAGTAGCTCTAGTGGAAGATAATATTAGAGAGAGTCACCTTTGGTGGTTTGGTCACATTAAACGGAGGCCTTCCGATGACCTGGTTAGGAAAGTTGAGTTTTAGATGTCTTATGTTAAGAAAGGTAGAGGTAGACCTAGAAAGACTTGGTTAGAAAATATTAGATATGATCTTTCTTTATTAGATTTAAATGAGAATTTGACTTTTAACATAACACAATGACGAAAAAGGATTCATGTAGCCGACCCCACGTAGTGGGACAAAGGCCTGATGTTGTTGTTATTGTTGGTAGGTTCGGTTATCGTATTGTCGTGCCTTAATGTTCAAGCCAATGAATGTTACATGGACATGAAGCATAAAATGTAGTTATTAGACGCTTGTCTAGTTTAGAAACTTTTAGTATAGTAAGATTGTCTGGATAATCCAGGGTATATTGGTATCTTAAATCAATAGACTTGGTTGAATTCCACCATTCATGTTGAGGTAATATGGTTTTCAAAGTTTCGCCACCCATTAAATCTTATGAAGCTGGTTCAGTATATTGCAGCCTTGTCGATTCTAGAAACCTCATGCCCCATTCTCCGATGTCCTGAACTTAATAGGAACTTGCCAAGTAATATAGCGGTGTACATTGTTGGAGCAAAGACAGATTTCATGATTTCACTTCATTTGATCTCTAAGCTGTTTTGTTCTCATGTGTTGGCAGATGTGAAGGATATAAAATGTGTGATCAATTATGATTTCCCGTCTAGCCTCGAGGATTATGTGCACAGGATCGGTCGGACCGGTCGCGCTGGCGCCAAGGGAACCGCCTTCACCTTTTTCACCCAGTCGAATGCGAGATATGCCCGGGGCCTTGTCAAAATATTGCAGGAGGCTGGCCAGAGTGTTTCTCCTGCACTTGCAGGCATAGCAAGGTCAAGTGGTTCTACAGGTGGAGGTAACTAATCTGTAATTTATGTAATGGCGTCATCTTCAAAAGCTGGTATACCCTCCCCTAATACTTTGGTTGCAGGAGCCACAGGAAACTTCCGGTCTCGCGGTCGGGGCTTTGGTAATAGACCGCTGAGGTCGGGTTCGAATACTGTTCCACTTGCTGGGAAGAAGGCATGGTGATCTCTTGCTTCCAGGTAAGTTATAAAAGAGGCTACTTTACCGTTATATTACAAAGATTGAAAGAGCTGGTGCAGCTACTTTAGTTCCAGAATGGCTCTCTTTCAGTGGGTAGCATAAACGCTTTGCAAGCTTATACAATTATTTTCTAAGTATTTTTCTTAAGAGGAGCTCATTCTATAGCTTGATTAGTACTAATTGTAGTTTCTGTAAATCAAAGAAGGTTTTAGTTAAATGACCCAAACATTTTGCTGTGTTCATACAAACTGTTTTGTATGATAAATACCTTCTTGCACAACTTGGAAATTTTTGTGAACGCATTTGGTTACTCATTGGATGATAATATAATTTAGGGTTTGGGATGGAAATAATATTTTGTAAATGTGGTTATAAATTTGTGAAGAAAGTAAAAAAAAAAAAATTTTAGTTGGAATAAATTTTTATAAATATTGCTTATTTCTTTTTAAGAAGTTGGACATTTGTTTTTTAATTGCTATAAAAAATTAACAAATGTGATTGTAAAAAATAGTTTTTTATTTTATAAATTTTTAATAAGCAATAAAGTAGTAGACTAGAAGCTTAGGCTTTGTTTGAAATTATTTTCTTAATGCTTTTTAAAATAATTTTTTTAAAAATAAGTTCTAGTTCAAGAAATTTTCATATTAAAAAATAACTTTAAAATGTAGTTAAAAAATAGTTGTAGTTTAAAAAGCAAAGTAGTAATTTGTCTCTAATAGATTTTTAGGATTTGTTTGAAATGATTTTTTTGTTATTTTCAAAAAATTTTTTTTTTTTTTTTTGGAAGTAGTGAAAAATCAGTAGTAAAAAGTTTGTTCCTTTTGTTTTTTTAATGAATAAATGATTTTCTTTAACTATTTTTTGTTGTTATTAAAAAATGAAGTATTAATTAGTATAAATAATTTTAGCTGTTTTAAAAATGCATGCTTTACTAACACCGAAAGAGTCCACTCCATGAAGTTTTATCTTCTACTCAGGACTTGACACTCCTTTTTCTTAGTCGATGTGAGTGCAATGTTCTTCCATCATTTTAATTTTTAAAAGAAAAATAAATATATTTTTTATTTTCACATAATCTTAGAACATAAATAAAAATATTAAAAAATAAAATTGAACCGAAAATGAGTGATTTTTTTTCCTTATTTGACAAGAAAACTCGAGGCTTTTAACTATTCAGAGCTTGTTTTTCTATGGAAAATAATCTCCTTGTTCAAAAGTTAGAGAAATTATTACATGCAGTTACCGGACGGTTCAAAGGTGAAGTAAGATGCGTCATGTCATCTCTGTACACAGCACCGGTACACAATAATGATGACGTGCTTGCTTTAGAAGGGTTCATCTTGATGCTCTGATTTCAATGATTCTATTTGTGTTGATTTTGTTATCTCACTTAAAAAGCACCAAATCATTCATTTTGATCTAAGTTAGCCTAAGGTATAGGTTGGCTTAGTTCAATCTCGATCCGTTATGTTTGTCTCAAATTTTATTTCAATCCGTTATAATCAATTTTAGTTTTTTTTTTTTTTTTTTTTTTAATTTTAAGAATGCTCTATAAATCAACATACATGATTGAACTCATTCATATATGAATTTTTTTTAATTTTAAGAATGCTCTATAAATCAACATACATGATTGAACTCATTCATATATGAATTCCTATAATAACATTGCAAGAGTCATTATGTGTTACACATTCATATATGTGCATACTTTGGTTGGCAATAGCTTTGGAAGTTCTTGTCAATATCTTGAGTTTGATTTTCACTTTAATAAATCTAATCATGTGGACATTGGTGTAGGCAAAAAAAAAAATAGTGCGTTATTTTCAAAAATAAAATTTTTTTTGGAAGTTGTAGAAAATCAGTAGGAAAAAGTTGTTCCTATTTTTATTTTTTTAATAAATAAATAATTTTCTTTAACTATTTTTTGTTGTTATTAAAAAATGAAGTATCAATTAGTATAAATAATTTTAGCTGTTTTAAAAATGCATGCTTCACTAACACCGAATGAGAAGTTTATCTTCTACTCATGACTTCCTTGACACCTTTTCTTAGTCGATGCGAGTGCAATGTTCTTCCATCATTTTAATTTTTAAAAGAAAAATAAATATATTTTTATTTTCACATAATCTTAGAACATAAATAAAAATATTAAAAAAATAAAATTGAACCGAAAATGAGTGATTTTTTTTCCTTATTTGACAAAAGAAAACTTGAGGCTTTTACCTATTAGAGAAATTATTACGTGTGGTCATAGGACGGTTCAGAGGTGAATTAAGATGTGTTATGTCATCTCTGTACACAGCACCGGTATATAGTAAATGATGACGTGCTAGCTTTAGAAGGGTTCATCTTGATGTGATAGGAACATATTTCTATAGGTCACCCAGAGCTTTTTTGGCTTGCATCAATGGTTTCTAGTACCATAGATTGTAAAAGGTGGATCATATCTTTCAAGAATAGGATACAATTATTTTCATAGACATCAAGTTTTATAATCTTAAGGCCAAGCTTTTTCGTCGTTCATTTTGTTTGGTGCATATCAAGTGTTAGATTCGATTCTCATCCCCTGATATCATCGACACAATAAAAAAAACATGATTATCTCAAGTATTTAATAAATAAAATTTTATTTTATCGTTTGGGATAGCTTTCTTGCTGCATCTTAAAGCAGTTTTTAGTATACAAATTTTAAGTTTTAAACTAAAAAGTTGCTTTAAGAAGCAATAAAAAAGCCGTCCCAAACGAAGCCTAAGTCAAAACCTATAAACCATAAACTCATTCTCAATATTAGGGACTAAAAAAAATCTTCTTTGCACCAACACAAAACAAGATATTCTATACAAAACAAAAATCAATCCACTCACTCAAATCACCAGCGATCTCCACAAGAGCATTTCCCTTCCTTGAAAATATGAAATCCAGTGGAATCTCTCAACAAAATTTCTCTGCAAGTTACAAAGGAAGCAAACTTCAAAAACACATGACAGTCACCACATAGACGAACGTTCTTCACAACCCTCACAGTTTGGGATTGGGACATTATAATCCCATATGTTACAGCAAGTTTAGCACTGTGATAGAACAAGAAATCTCTTTTCTGATACTCTTCTACTTCATGAAGCACATAGCTTGTATCAGGCTCATACCCAGCTTTCATGCACTCTAGTATCAGTATATCCAATGCCCCATATATATCTTTGTATTGTTGGTGTGATTTATCTCTGCAAAAGAAAGAATGCAATCCATTCTGACCGGTTACCCAGCTTCGCGCCGGGTTCTTCCGCAGCCCTTTCGATCGCATCTCCTCCCTTAGTTTTTCAGAGCAATGCCATCTACCAGAGGCTGAGTAGAGATTTGACATAAGGATGTAGGTGAATGGGTCTTGAGGTTCTAAAGCAAGGATCCTCTCGACTACCCGTCGTCCTCGTTTATGATCAGATTTCAACCTGCAACCTTCGAGCAATGATTGCCAAATGTATGTGTCGCGCTTAAAAGGCATGGTTTCAATAAGCTGCTCCGCCTTGTCGAAACAACCCCAAAAGCTTAAAACATCTACCATGGCGGCATAGTGCTCTGGTCCAGCTCGAATGTTATGAGATATCGACATCGCAGAAAACAGCCTTTCACAATTTTGAATTGAGATTGATCTTGAACTTGTGTATTTGCAAGCTGAAATTATTAAAACATAGGAGATAGAATCAGGAACCATGGCACAATTCTCCATCTCATTCCACATAGATAAAGCCTCGTCGCCCAGGCGAAAAAGAAGGAATGCATTGATCAATGTGTTCCATGATATGATATCATGTTCAGGCATTTGATTGAAGAACAGCACTGCATCTTTCAAGTAACCACATTTAGCAAACAAGCTAACAATTGCATTACTTACTCCTAGTTCACATAGAAAACCTAGCTTAATAGAAATGCTCTTGATTTGCTTTCCAAAATTGAAGAACCCTAGTGTGCCACAGACTCCAAGAATGGCAGCCAATGCAAGTTCATCAATGTTCAAAAAGTTTTCTCTTTTGATCATCCTACAAAAAAGAGTCAAGGCCTCATTGGGTTGTCCGTTGCGACCATAAGCATGGATCATACTTGTCCAAGTGATACAACTGGTTTTCTCTTTCTCATCACTTTGCTGTTCAAAGATCTTGAGTGCATCTTCCATCCTACCACATTTGGCATACAGGTTGACTAAAGCAGAATCAATCCAAGCGCCAGGTTTACACCCTGACTTGATGATAAACCCGTGAATCTGCTCGGTCTTCTTCATGTCGGATACCAAGGTACAAGCTTTCACTGAACTTGTTATTGTAAAATCTGAGATCTCCACTTCATCCCTTAAGATCTGCAGGAAAAAATCCAAACCATCTGAACCATGGCCATTCTTACAGAATCCAGCTAAAACAACATTATATGAAATGTGATTTTTTTCAGGCATCTTATTGAAGAAATCAATGGCTGATTCTACCAGACCAAATTCCATAAATCCATTAAGTATTGCAGTCCATGAGATCACATCCCTCACATGCAATCTATCAAAGATATACAGCAAATCCTCCATCCGACCAAATTTAGTGTAGAGAGCAAGAAGAGCATTACCCACGCTTAAATCGAAGTCCAAACCAATTTTGAGCGCATAGGCATGAATGGCCTTGCCTTCTCCCCCAGTAAAACTCTCAGCTGCAGCAGTCAATAGGGTCGACAACGAGAACCGATCCCCATATGTCCCATCAGCACCCATGGCATCAAAGAGTTCAAAAGCTTCAGCATACCTACATTCCTCCACCATACCCAATATTGCTGCGTTCCATGACGAAACATCTCTCTCAGGCATTTCCCCAAACACCTGAAGAGCAGAATCAACATGCCCGCATCGCACATACATGCCTATCAATGCATTTGACACATGGGTGCAGTTACTGTAATGGGTTTTTAGAGCAAAAGCGTGAACTTGAGAACCTAACTGGAAATTAAACTGCCCAATGCAATTCGTTACTAATGCCACGAAGCTAAACTCGTTAGGGTTTATATCCATTTGCCTCATCCGTGCAAAGAGACTGACGACTTCATTCTCCATGCCGGACTTAGCATAGTAGGAAATAATGGAGGTAAAGGAGGCAACATCAGGGAAAGGCATTTCGTCGATCACCTGGAGGGCATCGGAGAGTTCGCCGAGCTTGAGATAAGTTGTAATGAGGGAGTTGAGAAGCCGAGTATGATCATGTTGGTGGTGAGCCTTGGTGATGACGGCGTGGAGGGCCTGGCCGAGGGCGAGGTCGCGCTGCTCGCCAGCGAGACGTAGGAGGCGGCGGAGGCTGTCGGGTTGGCGGATGGGCAGATTGGAGATGAGGTGCGGGGGACTAGAACGAGATGGAGTGACGGTGGTCGCCGGCGGCAGAGTTTGAATGGATAAAGAGGATCGAATGGAGGGAGAGCAGGAAAAGAGATAAGTCGTGGCAGCCATTCATTAACGCATTTTAGCAAATTCCCAAGAATTTGATTGTCATGATCAAGTTGAAAGGATTTCAACCGGCAGAGCACTGCTCAACCACTTCCTCCTCCCGTGTAAGGAGGCGGTGCCGGTTTTGTGAACGGGAAAATGGACTGAAATACCATATATTATAGAAAAAACGCAACTTTTTTCTCGTGATGCCGTCGTAGCTCTCCCAGGTGTTCTGTACTCCTTTGGAGAAAATTTTCACCTTGAGGGGCTGTTTGGCAACCAGTAGTACTTAACTTAAAGTGGGATTTAATAAATCATATAAATCCAAATTTAGTAAATTCTAAATATATTAAATCTTGAAAATTGTTTGGTATGCTAAATGTTAAATCCTGAGAAACAGTTTGGTAACATATTTTAAGATTTATGGTAGTTAGAAATTTAAAATTGATGTAGATATTTTTGCAATCAAGGTCATAGCATAAAACATAATTCCAATAATTCGAGTTCATACAATATTAATAAAATTTTTAAAATAGAGGAAATGACAAACTGTTATTAGCAAAAAAAAAAGAGGAAGTAAGAGCAATCTTCAATTCTTTGGTTGACTTCATATAGGTAGAATGATGAAAAAAAATTCTCAAAAAAAAAAAGCTCTCCACAATACAGTGTTTTAAATAGCATCCGTTATTTGAAATTAATATTATTGCAAACTATTCAAAAACCTTAATAAGTAGTTGTAAATTATACTAATTTCGTATCAAACAATATAGTGAAAACGATATCAAATCTTTTAGTAGATGTTCTCTATGTACAAGCAAACAAATTAGCCCTTACAAAAAAAAAATTATAATCTACTTATTCGTGTATGTAATTTTCAAAATAATTGAAGTTTTCATGAAAAATATGAAGATAATGAATCTTCCACATCCCCTACTTCAGTTTTTTGCGGCAAAAAAAAAAGTTCTCAACTATCGAACTGTGAACTACACAACAAAGAAAAAATTAGATTACCTGTCACCTCAGCCAAACTCCAGCGAAGCAGCTTAATGAAGATAAGAAGAAGAAATCCCGAGTGAGGCAGCTGTGAAGAAGACTGACTGCGTTCGTGTGATGCCCCAGATATCAATAGTGAAAGGATTCGTCTGACATTCTGATCGAACTTCATTCCAGTTGCCTTGCTCGGACCTGAAAATTTCAACCACATATAATGAGCTTACAAAGCCCAGCAGGTCACCAAAGCCTACAACTGAAATCAAAGCACGGCGATGCTATCAATATGCAGGTCAATAAAATCAAGTCAATCAAATCAATAGGCTATGATCAATGAATCTATGCAGGTACGGAAATCAAATCAAAGCGAATCAATCAATACTCAATAGTCAATACGGCGGCAAAAGACAGAGAGAGATCGATGTCGAATATCTATAATCGATACATTTACATGCAATATCGGTGTTAATATCTATGAATCAATACGCAGAATCCATATCAATATCTGTGGCCGGTATTATGAATCAATAACATTACAATCGAAATGATAATCCGTAAAGCCATAAATCGTCATTAAATCGTTCAAATACATTAAATCATTCAATAAATAATCCTGTCAATCATCAATCAATCAAAATCCAGTCTATACTATCAAGTCGATAATCAATCGGAAAAGCAATACGATAAATCTCAATCTATCATATCATAAATCAATTGCAAGCAATCAATACAATGCAGAATCAATAGTATCAATGAGTCTATGCAATATCAATAAATCTATGCCGTCATGTCCATATCAATGTCAATATTCAATAATAATAGTACAATGCTCAATGATCAATCAATGAATCCGTACGATACAGTAAATCCGATTAAATCAATAAAGTAGAAATCGATAAAACAATAAATCCGTATGTCAATACATGTGAACAGGCATTCCATCTATAATCTGAACAAGTAAATCAACTGGCTATGTTGCTGTTGTAGATATCCATACATTGGTTTCAATCAATAAGAGTCGTCACTCTTTTGCCCGTCGGCATATCTATAAACCCCTTATGACTCCCATCAATAGTGTTGTTGTAGAAATCCATAATCGATGTTTAAAGGAAAGCCCGTCGGCCCCTATATCCTGTACAGTCATATCAATCTCAACCAACGTTCAACCAGGTTCCATTGTTTTCCAGTATAAATAGCAATTATAGTCAATTTGACAATCAATCATATATCAATGCAATTAATTAATATTAAAGCAATCTAGAGCAATCATATCAATAGTCATGCACATATCAATTCAATCTATCAATTTCAGGAAAATCAGAAATCATACGAAAATCGGGCAGAGTAACGGCAGTCTGTCAAATTTACACAAAAAATCCTGCAAAAAGGCACAAATTCAATTTCTTCCAAATTACAGTAGAATATCCACGACATCGATACAAGACTATTATTCTATAGATTTCCAAATCAAATCAAGTCCTGATATTTTTCTATTCAATTAAAATCGCGTAGAATCAATTCTAACCGGTAAATCGTCGTAGAAATACTCAAATCGTGTACAATAGTCATATCTATAACATACCAAAAGTTGTGCGGTGAAGTTGTGTCAAATCAAAATCATGTCCAAAATTCGACTACGAAAACACAAAACAATGCACAACTCGGTCAAAACTCAATATCTCTGAAAACAGAAATAGGATTCAGAGTCATTACCTCGAGATCTCACTTTTCCAACAACGGCGTCGGACGAAAAGCGCTCTGCGGCCTCCGAAACCAAGCTTTTTCCTCTTTTCCCTTTCTCTTTCTCTCTCTCAATCAGATATTTTGTTTAAAAATGTTTTTCTCTCTCCTCAAAACGGAGCTGATTTTTCTTATATCATTAGGCTGATCGGCCCGGCCGATCGCCAAATCGTCCCGGGACGATCAGACCAAAATCGATCGTCCGATGGTCCTGGACGGTTCCCAGAACTATTCTCAGGACGGTATTTTGAACAGTACAGATCGGCCTGGACGATCTCAATATCGTCCCGGACGATCCTGGGAGGAAAATCCAAGTCATG